CTAAGGTCCTACGAAAGACAGATTTGATCTAGGAATAAAATGATATATTTGATTTAAAAACGTTGTTTAGCTTCAAGGATCGTCTAGTGAAGAAACAATGCTACAACAAGGTTACATAAGTGTGATGTGCATGACCTGAAATATCTTTTATATTTCTTTTACCTAGGTAGGAAAAACTGATAGGAGTCGGAAGGGAATTTTAAAAACAGGGACAAACCGGATTTTTGTTATATATATGTTTTCCACCGAAAACCATCTTTTGCAACTCACTCCTGAAAGAAGTAGTACCCACACTTTCACTTGGCTCATTCAAAGCAGGTTCAAAAGCGATAATATAATTTATGGACTTACCAATCAGGTATAAGATAACAAGTCTTGAATTTTGGCGCAAAAATCATTCATGCATTCGCTTAAGTAGTTTTAGTATCGTAACTGATGCCAGTTTGTAATGAAAACCTTAAGTCTAACTTTTAACCCAACCATCAAATGTAAATTATTATTCTAACTGGTTCATAACCCTCATTTAGTCATCAAGGTACGGATAAGTACATGATGAATAACATTGGGCTACCTGTTGTCCAGACTGTTGCCAAGGCTTTAAGACTACTGCACACTGCCGTGCCATAGTCGCCAAACGTTTTAGAACCATGTGGTCCATACATGAGGCCTTTAGTCATGTTGAAGCTATAACGTTGTTGACTTCGTTTATAGTATTCATGAGTCCTAAACTTGAGTACTGCTTACAAGCGGCTAGCCCTTGCTTAAAACAAGACAGTGAGTTTTTGGAAAAGGTTCAGAGAATAGCACCTAAGCTGATTCCCGAAATAATGAAGCTTCCGTAAGATGTTCGATTGACCAAGCTAAACCTATTGCCATTGTCATGTCGAAGAACTAAAAGTGATTTGATAACAGTTTTCAAAGTACTTGGTAATAAATTTGCACCTGATATGCCCCATATTTCTTATATTCCAAAACAGAGAATTTACGAGGACACTCCAAAATATTCATAAGCCCAGAACAAATTACTTGTTAGCCGACTATCGACTTTTCCATCTAATCATCGAGTGGAATTCATTGCCTCAGCAGGTGGTTGAGGCCCCATCCGTTGATTCTTTCAAAATAAAGTTGGATCAGCTGAGAGACCATCATTGCCAGGACCAACACAGGCCATCAAGCCTCCTCTCCTTTCCAAACTGAAAATAATCAGATGTCCGTTCTCAAGGTCACTTCAGCGTCGCTCATAGTTCGTCTAAAAATTATAGTCTCACCGCTTCAGACACGAATGGAAGTGCTTCAGATAATTATTTACAATACCTCTGAGACTTATGTTTTAAAAACACGGATCTGAATATGTGATATAGTGAAGGTACAAAACTTTACTTTTAGTACATCGATTGCCTTCCTCTCAGTTTGCAGGACAAAAATGATAGGATGCTCTGGGGAGAATTGAACGAGAGGCTGGAAATCCCTAGAATAGAGCCTTGGACAGTCACACGGCTCACTCGGAGGGAGGACTCCTACCACCAAAACCATTGAGACTGCTTCATGTAACACTTAAGAATGCTTCCGCAGTAGATGACGTCCTGCTATCAAGTCACCTACTGAAATCCGATCGGAACGTAAGAATACTGCCTGACATACTGTATTCTGAGCGAAATCTCATCCGGAACATCCCTAAAGAATCTCGCGAGGCATTTTTCCGCAGAAGAAATATCACTGTGCAAGGTGTACCGGAAAATACGGACCCAGCTCAAGCAAACTCTGATATTCAGGAATGGGAATTCATTAAGCATTTCTTGAAACTCAAAAACACATTGACCCAATAGGGGGCGCGACTAGCCATATGGAGGCTGCAACTCTGGAAGCATTTCGTGTCAATACACGATGGTTGCCAACTGGTATCCGTATGCATCTGGATAGACCTTACGACAATAGGATCAAGCACAAACACAAGCTGGAGCTGATAATTCCACCTATAAACTGTTTTGATTATAAAAAGACGTGTAAAGGACAGTGACTACCAACTCCGTAAACATCGTATAGGTAGGCTACCTGTCAACTCACGCAAGGCTCATATAGACACAAAGGAAGGAGCTCACGCCTTCCAAATTGAAACCATAAACTGCTTATGCATGAACGCCGCGATTTTGCCAAACAAAGTGGATGAGCTGCGTGAACTTAGCAACGCTAATGATGCTCATCCGATAAGAATATCCGAAACTTGGATATCGTCTCAGTTTACGGACCAGGAGTTAGCGGTAACTAGAATGTCTTCGTTTCGCAACGACAGGAAAATTTGTTACGTTCAATTATGAGTTTTTGCCCGTTCCAACTATTGAAGTACTGGCCGTCGATATTCGCAAATCACGAACCCAAGTAGGCAAGAGAATCAAAACTCCAAATTAGATACCGAGTTTATTCGCAATTCACAAATAATCGACCAAAGGCGTTCTAACAACAATAACTATAACAATTACAAAACAAACATTCAATTTTGTAGGTTCCCGGAGCAAAAACTCCTAAATACCAAACCGATGACAAAAGAAACCAAAATGTCTGAAAAGAATGATATAAACAAACAAGTCCAAAGGTTAAGTAAAACAAACACATCCAAAAACACAGTAAAATTGCTGTACAGTAAAAAATTTTTAATCAGCCAAATGTCTTCAGTTCTCCCGTAACAAATTGGCATGAGGGGCGGGGTAACATTATACATACGATCATACCTGGAGGTACATTAACATTATAACCAAGAGTTTCTCAATCCTGATGAATCAGTATGGTGCTCGATAAGATTGTCTACCACCTCAAGGTGTCTAGTTGGGGTCATCTACATGAAGCCCACTGCTGACATCGAGTACGACAATTGGCAGCAGTAGGCAACTCGTTGGAGAAACAGTAAGACGCCGTCGCGCTTAGACTGGGTATTCACAAATGAAGAATTCCTAGTCGACGACCTCTCAATTCTGGCTCCCCTAGGGAAAAGAGATCACGCCGTCCTATCCTTCAGTTTTGTCAGCGAAACTGAGCTAAGATATCCCATCAACAACGTACGCTGGAATTTCAAACGGTTGAATGTGTTATCTTGACATGACTATCTACAACAGGCGGATTGGGATGTCCACCCTCAATTTGAAGTGGATGCTCATTGAGAAATTTGTCTCCAATCCGAAGAGCTTATTCCGTTATGCAGCTTCTCTTCGACAAGGCAAAACTAGAGTTTCCCAACTGCTTGGTCCTAATGGTGCTACCAATAACGACGGTGATGCCGCTAATCTTTTGTCTGAACAATACTCTAGGACATTTCAACCAAACCCCAACAACTATACTGATGAAAGCTTCACCTGCACCTGCACAGGACTTTCCGAAGTGGACCTGAGCGCTGACCTGGTGCTCCGTAAACTTCAGCACATAAGGAAAGACACTTCTCTCGGTCCGGATATGGTTCATTCTGCTATAATGAGGGAAGCAGCTTCAATCCTAGCAACACCACTTAGCGTGATGTTTTCACACACGTTAAGCCGATGCAAACTACCGGAAATTCGGAAGCTGACTCACATCTCTCCATACCTTCTAAAATTATTGAGTCCCTAATATACGACGGTATACACTTATACTTATTATCCTTAAAGTTTTCATCCCACCAGCATAGTTTCAGAAAGGGTCCTTATTGCATGACCGACTTCCTGACAGCGGTGGATAGATGGACAACCATCCTTGATCGCCAGGGGGAGGTTGACATCATTTACCTTGATTTCTCAGAAGCTTTTGATAGGGTCAACCATATATGTCTTATTAATAAGCTTAGATGATTGGGTATAAAACCCCCTCTGATTGACTGGCTCACTTCATATCTAGAAAACCGACATTTTAAGGTCAGGGTTAACTTCACTCTACCTCAGGCCATGGAATGTTCTAGTGTAGTCTCCCAGGGCTGAATACTAGGACCTCTTCTGTTCTTGATTTATATAAATGCTCTTCCACAGCAAGTTTCATCTGACTTATTGCTTTTTGCTGATGATGTGAAACTTTGGAGAGAGATACGTAATCATAATGATATACTAGTTCTTCAGGAGGATCTGACTCGACTTCAAAGTTGGGCAGACGACAACGGACTTACCTTCAACACTTCAAAGTGCAAAGTAGTCCGTCTGCGACATGTTGCAGACTATAGTTATAACTTAGGCAACTCCCCTTTAGAAGTTTCTCAAGTCGAAAAAGATTTAGGAGTGTTGGTACCCTACGACCTGAAATCATATGCGAACTGTGACAAAAACGCCTCTCAAGCAAACCTTGCACTGGTAACATTGAAGCGCATTTATGTCCAGTTTGACGGTAGAACCTTCCATATAATCTTCAACAGTTTTATTTGTCCCCATTTAGAGTACGGAAACATAGTATTTCCTCCCTCCCTCCAAAAGGATAAGACCACTCTGGAACGTATACAACGTCGAACCACGAAATCAGTTCGGGGTCTCAAATTCAAACCTTATGAAAAGCGCCTCAAATCACTTAACCTTTACCCGTTAGAGTACAGGCGTCTTGGAGGTGATCTTCTTATGACTTATAGTATCCTTAATACTTCTGGTCATCCCCTTAAACAACTTCTTAAGCTTAGCCACAACACTAACCTGATAGGTAACACCCAGAAATTGGAGACCCTACATAGCAGAACAGACTGTAGACACAACTTCTACTCCGTTAGAGCTGTCAAGTGCTGGAATTCGCTGCCGACTGAGCTAGTCCAAGCGACCTCCCAGGAGTCCTTTAAGAGGAAACTTGACTTATCCTTAAGGACTAACGATAACATATTATTATGATTTACCAAATTCTTTTTTTTCCCTCTATTATCGTTCATATACCTAAGTTTTTGCCTGGAGGTATTGTTGATCCACTGCTACCAGACACGGAAGCCCATTAAGCGAAAGCTTCTTCTATTCCGTCCTCAACCATTTGAACCATTTGAACCATTTGAAGGTCACGTACACGTAAACACCGCGATGAACTGGGCCTTGGTTAGTTTCCTGAGCGTGTTTGTAAAGCTTGGTATGCATTGCCATCATCTTGCAACTAATAACGTATTTGTTAAGCCCTTTCTTGTGACGAGTTTGACGTTAGGCCGGTTACCTATTCTTCAAGTGAAGCAGTTCTTTCCACTGAAACCATAATTTTGATCGAAGGTGAAGCCAAGTGTAAAGGAAAGGGAGTAAGACTTTATAGTATCTAATGGTTGTTTGCAGTCATCAAGTCTGTACGCTGAGTTAAATGGAGCTCTTCAACCAGTTGCTCGTCATATTGAAACTGACCATTTTCAAGTATTTCCTTAACATATTGTTTATAATATTAACTTGATGGTGCTAGGTATCGTTCGTCTTCAATCACAAAGATGTGCCTAAAGGAGAATATGTTGTCCGGTTTTATAATGAAAAAGGTGTAACGGCCTACCTGAGATCTTTGAAAGGTGGTTTTGTATCTGACGTACCTCCTGTCTTCACAGTCACCGTTCGACATAAAGTATAAAAATAAGCACTAATACTTTATTTTGTAGGGAATCTCATTCAAGCCTGTTGTTTATTCCGAAACAGTGGCACTATTAACCATTATGTTAATAGCATTTGGAGCTATAATTACGAAAAACAAGTTCTAGGGTTATTTTCGACACATGAAGTATTTCACTATACATGTACATTGTATTCCTCCCTAAAAGCCTTTGTATAGTACTTATAAACTTTCGTTCATAAATGTTGCTGGATTTCTTGAATTCATTGTTTTGAGGTGTAAAAACAATAGCTGAGTAGAGGGTTAGTAGTATTAACGTAGTCATTTATTTATTTTATTTGGACACATAAATACTGGTACAAAGGGGCACCAGATACATATGCGCCACAAACCTCATTTGATTTGTGTGTGGGCTGTGATACTGTCCGGGTGCCCAAACCGAAGCGGATACTTTTCTTAGGTGGCCACATCCGGAGCCTTCGACCTACAGGTCCGATCCACAAGGCAGTGAGCAACGTCAGGAATTACAGTCCCATGGTAGCTGGTGACCAACAATTGGTTCATACGCCATCTTTCCCCTCAGGACAATGGAGCCCATGTGCATCATCGATTTGGAATCAGGGTTTTCCAACTTCCTTAGGTAGTTTTTCTGTGTCCGCAAACCCGGTTAAAGCGCCGGACATTCGCTTTTCGTCCTCTCAATTTCGTAAACAACACCTGTGGCACGAAAAGGCAGTGAGTAGGACTTTCCTGGCAGAGGCTATGTACGCGTGGCTATGTGAGAGGATTTCGGGAGAGAGGGCAGTCCCTCCTCACTCTCGGCCGTACCATGGCATTCGAGAAAATTACGTTAGGGTAGTAAAGTGTTTTAAAATTACGTTATCCTATTGTGATCTGAACTAATTGTGCTTGTTTAGTGTATTCTGTTAGAAAAACAATCGAGATATATTTGTATTATGTATATGCGCAATGACATGAAGCAGTGATTTTGTAATTATAATTTTTCTATCAATACTTGGAACCAGGAACTATTGTGACTTTTAGGACGAAAAATAAGAACAAGAAAACTAGTGCACATGAATATTTTACTGGCCCTCCAAAATACGTTCACCTAAGATACCCTCATTTACATACGTATGATTTTGCGCACACTTGATGATTAGTTGAGAATATCACCGTTAGCAATAAACCAATTATGCAACTCAGTGATGAATTATATTTCACAGCGAAGTCAATTATTATATTAATTTTGCTGATTCTATACGCTTTGGGTTATTGGTTAATTGCTGGTCCAATGTATTGGTCGACCAAAACATTTGAAAGGATATTTAAATTATTATGAGCCTACTTTCGCAGTCTTGTTTTCTTCCATCAACAAAGCAGTCTGTTTTCGCCGCAATAAGTGGCAGGTAGAAGTATATCACACTCTTGCCAACATAGTCGTATCAGTAGTAGTAGTTAGCGCCTAGTTTCAAGTCACAAGCTTGACAGATTAGTCTTATTTCAAGACAGCAGTCACGCACAAAAAATCCACAGAGTTACAACAGAAACATACTGACTTAGGCAACACTTAATTGATTTAGAGAACCTGAAATAGGTGTTACACCCTTCATTCCTTATCGGGTTCAAATTCCTTCTGACCTTTTTTTAATGGCGACCAGAGTAGCATTGCTAGCCGTCGAGCGAAAATCTGCAATTAGAAACCAAGTACATTAATTTTTTATAAGGTGGCTGAGTTACATCTGTAACAGAGTCAATGTTTTAGTAATATGGATATTCCTAGGCAATATGTAAGAAATCGCTTTGTCTTTATTTATAAAGCTCTTTTAGTGTGAACAATTTATGGAAAAGCAAAATTCTAACGGATAAGCAGTCTTGTTATAACAATGTGTTCAGTTTATAAAAGTCCAATCATCAGTGATCTCGAAGAATTTTCCACAAACATCCTGACTAATCGAGGTGTGTTCGTCTAGATGGGATTATCAAACCATGATGTACTGTCGAACTATAAAATCTTTGGCACTTGCCTAGAGATGGGAAAATCCCCATCCAGGTTCCATGAGATAAAGGTTGTGGTCAGAGATACTTTGGCAATGAAGTTCAAATTTAGTGTCCGTAGAGTATATGCTTTAGCTCCCTATGAATCTTGAGCATGATATTATTTCCTAACCAATTATTTCCCCATTTCATTCGTTTATTCGCAAGTAAACTTCATGTTTTTAGAGCCGTGGTTTAATGGCTAAAACATGATTTTCAAACTCTACGTCCTAGGTTCGAAACCAGCTTCACATACCTTATTTTTCGCAGCCAGATAGTATCATTAGTCCTTATACAAACGATATCTATCAAAGTTGAGTCTATAAAACGCTACTTGGTAGAAGAGTTGCACCAGGTACTTATAGCTTAATCCACTACCTGTTATTGGTATTATTACCTATCATTTATTTATCCTTCTTGTTAATCGTCTCTCGTTATTACTAATGTGTAATGTTTATTTATGGTTAGGTGAGTCTCTAAATTATTGATAAATCTATTCTTATTTATTTTATTTATTTATTTAAACACATATATATTGGTACAAAAGGGCACCAGGTACATATGCGCCACACAAAATAATGAAAGTAGGAAGAGAAGGGATGAAAAGATAAGGCGGGCTGAAATGTACAACCAGAAGACTCTTTCAGTTAGGAAAGTTAGAACCATTCTTTATGTAGAAAGTAAAAGAAGGTTGCAGCAGGATCGCCACTGGCTTCTATTCTGAGCCATATCTGATAACGTCTCTAGCCACTGTGTTGCACCATCTCTCGGACCCCAACCAGGGAGTCGTGAAGGACCAACGGAAGCTAGCCCTTTGCAGCTCTCTTTCATGCCACGACACCATGTCATACACTGACCTCCTCTCCGCTTTTTCCAACCAGTCCCAGGGTCGGCAAATAATGCACGACGTGGAAGTCTCTGGGACGACATTCGTAAAACATGTCCAAGCCACCGAAGTCGGTGTTTCAAGATGGTGACACCAATTGAATTATCGTCTCTGTGCCCGAACACACGATGCCGAACCTCTGCATTACTAACATGGTGTTGCCACTGGATGTCAGCAATCCTTCGAAGACAACGATGATCGAACACAGAGAGACGTCTAACATCCTCAACTCGGAGAGACCAGGTTTCACAAGCATAGAGCAAAACTGCTCTCACCGACGCGTTGTAGATCCGACCTTTTACAGCCAGACTAACATCACGAAGGCGCCAAAGATGGCCCAGATTGGCATAAGCCGCTCTGGCTTTCATTATACGTGCATCGATCTCATCACTCACGCCACCACCAGCACTTATATAGCTACCTAGATACACGAACTTATCAACTACTTCAATCTGTTCACCATCCAGGGTGAGTACAGGATGAGAATCCTGCCAGTCTTGTAGGAGTACTTTGCACTTGGAGGGTGCAAAGCACATGCCGTACCTGCGGACACTGATTGCCAACTGATTAAGTGCTGATTGCATGCCTTGGGCATTATCGCACAGTAAGACAATATCATCCGCATACTCAGGGTCGAGAAGTCGTTCTCCAGGCAACATATCCACACCGCAATTACTTACATCCATCAGAGCTGTTTCCAGGATGTCGTCGATGGCAAAGTTGAAGAGGAATGGTGAGATCGGGCAACCCTGTCTAACTCCACTGCTCGAATGGAACAAGGGAGAAAGGTAGTTGTATGCCCTCACTCTGCCTGAGGTGTTCGTATACAGGGCCTTTAAGATGTTAATGAACTTCTCAGGCACACCCTTCTTCAATAGACAATCCCAGAGAACAGTCCTGTCCAACGAATCGAAGGCCGCCCTGATCTCAAGAAACACTACGATTGTTGGCCTGCGATAAGTATGACGGTGTTCTAACATTTGGCGGAGGGTGAAGATGTGATCAATGCATCCTCGACCAGAACGAAAACCAGCCTGCTCCTCGCGAGTCAATCGTTCTCGGGTTTTAAACAACCTACGAAGAATGATAGAAGCCAATAGTTTGGATGCAATCGAAAGTAGACTTATCCCCCGGTAGTTATTGCAGGAACAACGTGAACACTTTTTAAAGATAGGGACGACTATTGACTCATTCCAAGATGTTGGAACACTTTCTTGCTCCCAAACCTTTTCAAACAACGCAGTCAGTTCCTTAGCCAGAAAGTCACCACCATCTTTAAAAAGAGCCGGAGGTAAGTCATCTGGGCCAGGTGATTTATAACGTTTCAAGAGTTGGAGTTCCTTGCGGACTTCCGCCTCGTTTGGTGGATCAGTCGTCACCGGCCATGGCGGGCAGGACAAACTGGTTGATGTTGCCGGAGCAACAGGCCAGTTGAACTGCCCTTCGAAAAATTCCGCCCATCGTCCAAGACGTCGACAGATGTTAGTGATTGGCATCCCGTCATCCTCGTAGATTGTTTCACTCACACCAGACTTCTTGCTGCCAGTGGCTCGGATGAGTTGGAAGAGCTTCCGGCAGTTACCAGATGCAGCTGCTGCTTCCATCTCATTAGCACGCTCCGACCACCAGGCTTCTCGGTCCTTACGCAAGCTTTGCCCGATTTCATTATGTAACAGCCTTCGTTTGTGGTCAAACTCACGGTCACCCGGAGTAGACCGACGGGCTTCCATCAGTTGCAAGGAGCCAGAAGAAACACAGTGCTTGTAAGCGGGACGTTTCGCGAAGCCACAAGCGGCTTTACTCGCCATTTTCATGGCGTCGTGAAGAAGCAACCAATGCTCATCTATACTTTTCGGTGGGGTGGTAGCTAGCCTAGAGGCTAGCTCCGCTCGATACTTACTTGCAACAGAAGTTGCAGCCAGTTTACTAACATCAATCCGTTGGTGGTGGTCAATCCTTCGGCCACTGAAAAGTAAGGTGAGATTGGCGCAGACCAGGGCATGATCAGACTCCAGATAGGTACTCCAAAAGGAGCGGCAGTCTTGCACACAACCACGCCAGCGGTAGCTGATCGCGATGTGATCAATCTGAGTCCAGGCTTGGGATGCAGAGGGAGGACGCCAGGTGGCACACCGGCGATGACTGTGCCGGAAGTTGGTGCTGGCCAGAAACAGGTTGTGGTCTGTGCACAGTTGCAGCAAACGGTCCCCGTTATCTGTTCGGCG